TCCCAAGTAGCTGGACTACAGGCATGTGCCACCATGCCAGCTAATTTTTTTTCTTTTTGTAGAGATGGAGGTCTTGCTATGTTGCATGTGCTTTTGAAGTCTTAGCCATAAAATCTTTGTCTTGATCAAAGTCTTGAAACATTTCTTTTTGTATTATTCTGCTAGATTTATAGTTTGGGGTTTTGTATTTGAGTGGTTATTTTGAGTTGATTTTTATATACGATGATTTTTGTATATGGTTTCATTCTTCTGCTCTCCAATTTTTCCAGCACCATGTATTGAATGGGGTGTCCTTACTCCAATGTATGTTCTTGATGCTTTCTCAAATATCAGTTGACGTAAATACATGGATTTATTTCTACCTTCATTCTTCTGTTCCATTTGTCTTTGTAGTATATTTTGAAGTCACATGGTGTGATGCCTTCAACTTTTTGCACAGTATTGCTTTTGCTGTGTGGGGATTTTTGTGATTCCATACAGATTTTAGGTTCGTTTTATCTGTTTCTGTGAAAAAAAGTCATTGATGTTTTGATAGGGATTGCATTGAATCTGTACATTGCTTTGGGTAGTATAGTCATTTTAACAGTATTGATTCTTTTGATCCATGAGCATATGATGTCTTTCTACTTATTTGTGTCCTCTTCTATTTCTTTCATTGGTGTTTTTTTACTTTTCCTTCTAGAGGTTTTTCACCTACTTGGTCAAATTTACTTCTATGCATTTTTTTTTTTTTTTTTTAGTAATTATTGTAAAATGAATTATTTTCTTGATTTCTTTTTCAGCTAGTTCATTATTGTTGTATAGAAACACTGCTGATATTTGTCTATTGATTTAGTATCCTTCAACCTTACTGAATTTTATCAGTTCTAATAATTTTTTGGTGGAGTCTTTAGTTTTTTCTATATACTAAGATCATGTTGTCTGCAAAGAGGGAAAATTTGACTTCCTTTTTTCCAATCTGGATGTCTTTTAATTTTTTCTCTTGCTTGATTGCTCTGGCTTAGGACTGTCAGGTGTTGAATAAGAGTGGGCATCCTTGTCTTGTTCCTGTCCTTAGAGGAAAGGCTTTCAGCTTTTCTCCACTCAGTATTATGTTAAACATGGGTTTCTCATATATGACCTTTATTGTGTAGAAATATGTTCCTTGCATGCCTACTTTGTTGAGAGTTTTTATCATGAAGGGATGTTGAATTTTATCAAATGCTTTTTCTGTATCTATTAAGATAATCATATTGGTTTTGTCCTTCATTCTATTGATGTGATTAGCACCTTTATTGATTTGCAGATGTCAAACCATCCTTACATTCCTGTGATAAAACCCTTTTGATCTTGGTGTATTCTCTTTTAGATGTGTTGTTGGATTTGGTTTCCTAGTATTTTCTTGAGGATTTTTGCATCTATCTTCAGGGATATTGGCCTATTGTTTTTTGTTGTTATTTCTTTATCTGGTTTTGGTATTGAAGTAATGTCCTCTTAGAATGAATTAGGAAGAATTTCCTCCTCTTCAGTTTTCGAGAAGAGTTTTGAAAGATATGGTGTTTTTCTTCTTGATAAGTTTGTAGAAAACATCAAAAGAGCCATCAAACCCTGAGCCTTTTTTTGTTGGGAGACTTTTAATTACTGATTCAATCTCATTACTCATTTTTGGTCTTTTCAGATTTCTATTTTTTTCTGGTCAAATCATGGGAGGTTGTATATGTCCAGGAATTTATCCATTACCTTTAGGTTTTCCAATTTGTTAAGTACAGTTGTTCATGATACTGATGATACTTTGTATCTCTGTGTTATCAGTTGTAATGTTGTCTTCTTTGTTTTTTAGTTTACTTGGGTCTCCTCTTTTTTTCTTAATATAACCAGTGCTTTTAAAATTTTGTTTATCTTTTCAAAACACCAGCTTTTGTTTCATTGATCATTTGTTTTTGTTTTGTTTTTTGGTCTCTATTTTATTTAGTTCTGCTCTGATCTTTATTATTTCTTTTCTTTACTAATTTGGGGTTTATTTTTGCTTTTCTTGTTCCTTGAGGTGTAAATCATTAGGTTGTTTATTTGAAGTCTTTATACTTTTTTAATGTAGGTGATTAGTGCTATAAACTTTCCGATCTGCGCTGTTTTTGCTATATCCCATATGTCTTGGTATGTTATGTTTCCATTTCCATTTCTTTGAAGACATTTTTAAATTTCCTTCTTAATTTCTCCATCAACTCAATGGTTGTTTAGGAGCATGTTGTTTAAATTCTGTTACTTGTAAAGTTTCTAAAATTCCTCTTACAATTGACTTACTAGTTTTATTCCATTATGGTCTAAGAAGTTACTTCATGTGAACTCAATATTTTTTAATTTATTGAGTCCTGAATTATATTAATTCAGTAAGTTGCAAGGGTTGATTTTAAATATTAGGTAGGCCTTATAAGTATAAACTATGTATTTCATTGGTTTTATTTCTAATTTTCTGATTGTGAGTCAATTTCATTGTTTCAATTTGGCCATTTTTTACTTAATTTTTTAATAATTTTTTACTTTATTCAGGGTTAAAGTATACAAATGTTCATTATGCAGGTACCCTTGTTGATGAGTTGACCATTTTGATTTGCTTCTTTGTAAACTGCCTATTTATATTTGCCCGTTTAAAAAAAATATATTTCATTGTTGCTTTGCCAGTTTTTGAGAATTTTTACTGGTATAGATACCCTAACCTCCTCCCTTTCCTTCCCCTATTTCTCTCTATATATAGACATAAAATTCTACATCTAGCAATCTAGTAATTATTATTTTATTAAATCTATTGTTTTATTTCTTGACATATTAGGTATTTCAGATGTGCAGTTTTTTATCGTCAATGATAAGAAATAGATTTTTCTTCTGTATTTGGATAATTGTTACCTTATAGTATTTGCTGGACCCACTAAAGCAGTGTTTAATAATAATATGCTATCTGAACTCCTGGTTCCTAACTTTAATCAACAGGATTTTACAGCAGACCAGTGGGACTGAATTAGGAGTACAGGTGTGATCCAGAGATCACAGTCAGTCTGTTATGACAAATAGTTTGTTCATGCTCAGTAAAGGGAAGGAAGTCCAGAACATTAGCAGGACTGTGGCTCTGCTCTCTGGTGACTGGAAAGAAGGCAAGGGTGAAACAGGTCACAAATAACCTGTGTGCAGATTTTTTCCTGTGCAAGTTAACTGAGCCAAGGGCAGTTCCTGCTGCCCCACTGTTGGCGTAGGACCGCGTGACACAAAGGCCCACTTGGCTATAAGGCACAGTGAACTGAAGTGGAGACCAAGAGCGAGATCTCTCTCTGTCTTCAACCAATTTAGCTGCATGTGTGCAGGTATGGTAGGCAGGAAGTGGAATGTCTGCAGCACTGAGGTTTTGCCACATGGGTACAGTGACGTGAGTAGATGAGGATGTATATTATAATGGTTATGGTGATGGACTTTAGATGAGTTTTCTGGGGATGATAGAGAAAATGTGGCAGGGTCAGTACCTTGTAGAACTTCCAGGGTAAAATTTGTTTTAGTTGGAGCTTTAGAGGGAGAAAGTGGAAAAAGAGAATGTTGGAGACTAGAGGGTGGATACTAAACACTAGAAATCTTGAGGGGCTGCAGTTAATAACAGGTATCAAGGGTATCACCATTGGAAAGACTGAGGTGTAGGGGGAAGTTCAGCAAACTGAGAGGCCTAGGTTTTGGAAGGATTATTGCTGTAAATGTAGAAACCCTCTGCACTAGTTGTGATGGAGTTAGTGCTGGAGAGATTGTAAGCCAGAAAATAAAATCTTCAGTGAATGAATGGGCATGACCCAGAGGGTAAATCACTGCATCAAGTTGTTTTGAGGCGAGTCTCTTTTCTCCTAGCGCCAATTAGAAGTGTGGCAGTTACTATGTGTACACAAAAACAATCTGTTACTAACTTAAGAAATGACATTCTGATATACATGTTAATTTTGTTAAAAGGAAAAAGAAGATAAACCATGTTAGCCACCCTAGAAGTCATTATGTACAGTTTAAATGAAATTTGGCTAGCATGTACCTTAATCATTTATTAATTTCTAATATGTAACAGCTAAGCAAGTCGTTACCTGTTAAAATAGTGCAGTGTTTTGTTTTTTTTTTTGAGTTGGAGTCTCACTCTGTCGCCCAGACTGGAGTGCAGTGGCCACTCCCTGCCACTGCAGCCTCGACCTGCTGGGCTCCGGCTATCCTCTCGCTTCAGCCTTCTGAGTAGCCGGAATTATAGGCATGCGCTACCACGCCCGGCTGATTTTTTTGATTTACTGTAGGGATGAGGTCTCGCCAACTTGCCCAGGCGGGTCTCAAACCTGCGGGCTCAGGCAATCCACTCACCTCAGCCTCCCAAAGCGCAGGATCACAGGCTGAGCCACCGAGCCAGCTAAAATAGTGCAGTATTTTGAACTTTGCTCTAAATGTCATTACAAGTAAAGTGCAAGTTATTTTGAAAGCTAGCATGCATTTTCATTTTTTGCTTTTGCAGTGATTTCTCCTGAAGGGGAAAGATACAAACCCTTAGTTACTGGAGAACAAAAAGTACAATGTATTTCACTTGAAATAAACCCATCGGCTACTGTTGATTCTCCTACTGAGACAAAAAGTCCAAAGTCTAGTGCAATATCATCACCACAGATGTCATTGAAATCAGAAGGAAATTCGGAAGGTATGTTTTAATGGGTCAAAATGAACTGTATTTGGTTTAATAATACTTAAATTTTAGCTAGGTATGGTGGCTTATGCTTGTAATCCAGTGCTTTGGGAGGCCAAACTGGGAGAATCACTTGAAACCAGGAGTTTGAGATTACAGGTGCCACATCACTCCATTCTCTAAAAAGGAAAAGAAAATTTTCAAAAATTAAGTAAGTATAAAAAATAAAAGTGGGATGTGGTGGCTCACACTTGTAATCCCAACATTTTGGGAGGCCAAGGGAAGAGGTTAACTTGAGGCCAGAAATTCTAGACCAGCTCAGCAACATAGCAAAAGCTCATCTTTACCTAAAAAATAAAAAAATTTTAAAAAAATCTTCTTTGTAGACAGGGCTTTCTAACCAAGTTTTCAAAGTCTGTATATATGTTTGAGAGGCTCATCTCAAATCAGGGTCACCGTTTTTATGCTTCTAGTAGCTGATCTGGGTTTTCATTACTGCCTAGCAGATCACCCCAAAACTTGGTGGTTGTTTTGCTTTGTTCTGTTTTTGAGGCGGCGTCTCACTCTGTTGCCCGGGCTGGAGTGCAATGGCATGCTCACAGCCACTGCAGCCTTGACCTGCTGGGCTCAGGCGATCCTTCTGCCTCAACCTCCCAAGTAGCTGGAACTTAAGATATGCGCCACCACACCTGGCTAATTTTTTTTTTTTATTATAGTGATGAGGTCTCGCCGAGTTGCCCAGGCTGGTTTCGAAACCCTGGGTGGGCAATCCTGTCACCTTGGCCTCCCAAAATACTGGGACTATAGACTTGAGCCACCGCACCTGGCTCGAAGCTTAGTGTTAAAACATCCTCTGTCTTATTGTATCTCATGATTTTATGTGTCAGGAATCGAGTCAGACTTGGCCTTTCTGATTTTCCTGCTTCATGGACCTTTGTCTCGAAGATCCCTTGCTAGTATTCAGCTGGTGGCAGGGGTGGTCTGGAGGGTCCTAAGTGGCTTCTCTGTGGTTTGGGCAAGTGCCACTAAGCTGGGTCCTCTCCCTCTTCATGTGGCTGCAGGGCCATTCTGTGTATTCCTTTCAGCAGGACAGTCTGCCTTCTCACACGATGGCCCAGGGTTCACAGATGCAAGGTGGTCGCTGCTTGTACTCTGAAAAGCTAGTCTCAGAACTGGCACAGTTCACTTCTGCCATATGCCATTATCAAAACTCACAGCCCAGCCTCCATTCAAAGGGAGGGGAAACAGAGCCCACCTCTCAGTGGGAAGAGAGTTAAAGAATTTTCAGCCATCCTTAATTTGCCAGAGTTGTCCCTATAACCAAAAAGTACTTATAAGCCGGGCACAGTGGCTCACACCTGTAATCCCAGCAATTTCGGAAGTGGAGGTAAGAGGATTTCCTGAGCCCAGGGATTCAAAACCAGTCTGGACAACTTGGTGAGACGTCACCTCTACAATAAACAAAAAAGAAAAATTAGCCAGGCGTGGTGGTGTGTGCCTATAGTTCCAGCTACTTGGAAGGCAGAGGTGGAAGGATTGCCTGAGCCCAGCAGGTGGAGGCTGCGGTGGCTGGGAGCGTGCCACCTCATTCCAGTCTGGGCGGCAGAGTAAGACTCCAACTAAGAAAAAAAAGGACTTATGTTCCTCCCCGGTGCAAATTATACTCACCCCTTCTCAAAGCCTCACCCCATTTGTTGCTGGCGTGGACTCTCCGGCGACGATGTCACTGTCAGGCCTGTGGGTAGATGGCTTTTCTCATGCACAGTTCTTCTAGTGCAGTGACTCAACCTGCAGACCCGTGAGTGAAAGAAGACGTTACTCGCCTTCCACACCCCAACATACAGTGGCAAAACAGACTTGTAGAGGACTCCTTTCCAAAAGCAAGGCAGATGGGAAGCATGCAGCAGGCGCTGGTCCGTGGGAATTGCAAGCCTCAGCCAGGAGCCGCCTTGTCAGCCCACTGCCTTGGCACCATGGGCCGGAGCCCTCGAGGGCTCTTCTCTTCTGAACAAGGCCTTCCCCTTCCGTCTGAGCTGGTAGGGCTTCCCAAGCAGAATTTCTAAGTAGCCACGTGTGTTTTGTAGGGATGTTATTTATATTCCCTACATTCCACAAAAGTGGCTTACTTTTTTGAGACACACCTTCCCTCCCTTGAGTTCTAAAGGGGTGCTTGGGAAGCATTGCTCTTGAGCTCTTAGAAATCCTTTTGTCCAACAAAGAGGGTCTGCAAAGCACACCCTCAAACCTTCCTGTGCCATAGTAGGTCTTGCAGGCTTGCCCTTGACTTTGTCTTTGCATCCAGGCCACATTTTACTGCCCTTGACTTACTCTTTGTCTTCCTTCCAGAGGCTTTTGTTGTCTTTGTATCTCTTCTAAGTTCTGCTCCTACTCTTAAGTGTTTTTCCTTCAATTACTCTCTCCACATTTTTTTCCCCGAGACTCCTAAAGGCTAACTGGCCCTTTTGGTTTTCTGCCTTGATAGCTCCTTAACTAGACTGTAGAATCCACAGAGTGCGTGTTCTGTCTTCCTCATTGCCGCAGGTCCCACATTTTCTGCCCCTATGTCATGAAACCCCCTTTCTCCAGCCCCCACAGCTGTTCCCACTGGCCATTCTCCCACCTTCTGGGCCCTGGAAGCCTCCCAGCGTCTGCCTGCTGCTCGCCCCAAAGCCTGCTCTCTGGGATATGAAATGCTGCCTCAGTTATCTCTTGTTACTTCTATCAAGTTACTTCTGAAACTTAGTAGCTTGAAGTAACTATTTTATCTCACTGTTTTGTGAGTGGAGAACTCGGAAGGTTCAGCCTTGTGTGGCCTCAGCTGGTTTCCTCAGTGGGGCTTCCCTGGAGGGTGCGAGGCGGCATTGCTGTCATGCCTGGTGCCTTGGCCTGCTCCACTGGGTCCCTCTCCTGCACTGTAGCCTCCAGGCATTGCCTGTGGCCTTCCCAGGATAAACTTCCACAGGGGCTCAGACTTCCAGATGCCACAGGGAAGCTGCCAGTTCTCTTTAAGGCTGAGCCTGGAACAGGCCGAGCATCACTTCCTCATTCCCCATTGCCAAGGCCATCCAGTGCCAGCCGAAAGCTAAGGGGAGGAGAAACAGCTGTCTCTCAGTGAGAAGAATGTCAGAATCTGGCCACATGTGACCATCTCTAATCCGCCACAGTCAAATAAACTTGGCCATTAGAGCCATAGTTGCTATTATGTGTTGTGGAGTGAATGTTTGTGTCCACCCAAAACAACCATCTGATAATGTGGAATCCCTGCTGTGATGGTATATGGAGGTAGAGTCTCTGTGGGATAACTGGGCCATGAGGTTGGAGCCTTCATAAATGGAATTAGTGCCCTTATAAGAAGAGGCCAGAGAGCTGGCTCTCTGCTCTCTGCCATGTGCAGACCAGGAAGAGGGCCTTCTCTAGAATTGCTCATGCTGGCACCCTGATACTGAATTCTTCAGCATCCAGAATTGGGGAAATAAATTTCCATTGTTTAAGCCACGCAGTCTATAATACTCTGTTACAGCAACCTGAACTAAGACAGCATCTTTTGTCTTTTCTTTAAAAAAGAAACAGCCAGACTATGTGGCTCAGCCTGTAATCCCACGCCTTTGGGAAGCCGAGGTGAGTGAATTGCCTGAGCCCACGGGTTCAAGATCCGCCTGGGCAACTTGGTGAGACCTCATCTCTACAATAAAAAAAAAATCAGCTGGGCATGGTAGCGCCCACCTGTAGTTCCAGCTACTTGGAAGGCTGAGGCGGAAGGATCAGGTCGAGGCTGTGGTGGCCGGGAGCGGCCACTGCACTCCAGTCTGGATGACAGAGTGAGACTCCAACTCAAAAAAAAAAGAAAAGAAAACAGCTGTTATGCATAAATGGAGGCATGGTGGTATTCAAGATTGATTGACTTTTTTTGCAAAGAGCCAGATGGGAAATATTTGAGGCTTTGTGAGCAATACAGTCACAATCAAGTTTACAGAATAAAAATAAGTTGACAGTGACATGGCTCAAGGCACTAGAGAACAGAGTTATTCATTAAAAATTAAAATAAGATTTCCCTTCAAGTGCTTACCTTATATGAATGACCAAAATAATTATTTAAATAAAAAGATAAAAACTTTAAAGATTGTTACAATATTAGTTGTCTTTCTAAATAAGACAACTAACTGGAAACTTTAAAAATAGAGGGAAAAAAAACCATGCCTGGATTCTGGGGGGAAAAGAGGATGGTGTTGACTTCAACAAGATGGTACCAATGATCTTTTTTGGAATAGAAAAATAAAAGCTAACAAATGAAGAAAGAACCTTTCTTCTCACCACTGTTCACTTTCAGAAAACATGAGCCAGCCAGACATGAGGAAACAGAGCTAGCTCCCTGATTAGTCATTATTTGAGGGGCAAGAAAATAGATTTAGTGTACTTTGTTCTCAATATCATTTTGAAAGTCCAGGTAATAGTTCCTTCTTTCTGTTCTTTTTTGAGTGTTGAAAGATAGATTTTGAAGATTGAAATTTCATTTTAACCTCTGTGGAAAACAGTGTGGCGATTTCTAAAAGCTCTAAATATCAACCTCCCATATGACCCTGCAATCCCCCTGCTGGGAGTATACCCTGAAGAACTCAAATCACTCTATCAAAAAGATACCTGTACACGTATGTTTATCACAGCATTGTTCACAATAGCAAGAACCTGGAACCAACCATGCTGTCCATCAAAAGAGGACTGGATTAAAAAAATGTAGTACATATACATGATGGAATACTACGCAGCCATAAAAAAGAACAAAATCATGAACTTCGCAGCAACCTGGATGGAACTAGAGTCAATAATACTGAGTGACCTCTCACAGAAACAAAGATCTGAGTATCACATGTTCTCACTCATATAGCAGACCTTGAACATCCACTGTAATACTATAAAAAAAAAGACTGACAGTGGTGGGAAACTGTGGGGGAGAGGGGAAGGGAGGTGGGATTAACGGTAGTCAATATCTATCTGGGGACAGGGAGACACCCCTTACCAACAAGGGTGCCTGAACGAAGCGTATTTGTATACCTAACCCTAAACTGTACCCCACAATATCAAAATAAAAAATATTGATATAAAAAAAGAAATTTCATTTTATTTATCAATCATTGATATCGCAGTATATTCTTTCATATTTCTAACCACAGATATCTTTATTCACTAAATTCGTTTTTGTGCTTTCTTTAAACCAGTTTACTATTACTGAAATTTTAATGAAAATTTTATATAATAGTGAAAAATACCGAGTACCATATTTTTTAGTACCATATTTCTTTTAAATATTCTATTACAGTAAAAAGGCAAAAGGAAGAGTCTGTCATTTCAGAAATGACTGAACTAGAGACTTAATACAGCAACCCAGATTAAAGACTTCCTAATGAAATAGTTAATTTTTTCTGTTATAATTAATGTGTTGGCCTGAAACTAGGTGGTGATAAATGTATAGAAAGTTCATTCAGTCTTCTCTCAACAAATGTCGCTTGGAGACATGTTTCTTGTCATGTGTGTGCTTGGCAGAGCCTGACGACTTGGAGACAGAAGCTCTGCAGGAGCCAAGGGAAGCAAGCAAAGACGACAGCCTGCCACGCCCCCTCCACGACACGTGGGTCAACGTGGAGCCAAACGCAAGGGATACCAAGTATGTCATGTCTCACCCTGACACCTTAAATCCCAGAGCCGTTTGTAAAAATAGTACTGTAATAACCCAATATTGCAATGTAATATCTAGATGTTGCAATATCTTGTAAGAGTAATTTGATTTTTAATAGATATCCACACGGTTCTGAAGTAAAGTATTAAGTACATGAAGAGACTGTAAAAGTCTTGCTTGCCTCTGTCCCATCCAGTCACTTCCCACTCCCATCTTCTTTCAGGTATTTTTAATATAATGCGTAAGCAAAAGTAAACATAGAGTCTTCCTCCCTTTTTAACAGTGATTAGCACACTGTACACAGTTTTTTCACCTTTAACAGTGATTAGTATAATGTTCACAGTTTTTTTTTAGTGAATAATAAATGCAGGAATTTTTTTTATATTAAGACAAAAAGTACTTCCTTTTTCTTTTCTTCTTATTTTATGAATTTGGTATTTCATTTTATGGACATACCACAATTCAGTAAGTTTCCTATTTGATAGACATTTATTGATATTACAAACAATGCAACAATGAATAACGTTTTACATAACATTTAATATTCATAAAATGAATAACATTTTACATAAGGTGAATTTTTGTGGGTACATGTCAGTAATACATGTAAGTGTAATTGCTGGGTCAAATGCATTTTTACAAATTGCATTTGTAATTCAGTTATTGTTCTCCCTGGGATTTGTACCAATTCGAAAAGAATGCACAAAATCTGGGGCTGAGTGCAGTAGCTCACACCTGTAATCCTAGCACTTTAGGAGGCCAAGCCTGGGCAACATAGTGAGACCTTGTCTCTATAAAAAATTTTTTTTAAAAACTAGCCAGGCATCATGGCACACACCTATAGTCCCAAATACTCAGGAGGCAGAGGTGGGAGGATCGTTTGAGCCCAAGGAGTTTAAGACTGCAGTGAGCTATGATCACACCACTATACTCTAGCCTGGACGACAGAGTGAGGCTCTATCTAAAAAAATTTTAAAAGTATGACTCTCCCTAATTTCCCCACAGCCTTGCCAAAGTTTTATTATCAAATTTTTTTATTTTTGCCAATCTGATAAGGTAAAAAATGGCATCTCAGTTTGGGCTCTTAGTTGTTACAGGTAAAGGTAAGCACAGCTTTTCAAATGTGTCAGTTTCATTTGAACTTGCTTGTCTATAAATTGTTTATATCTTTGGCCCATTTTTAGGATTTATTTGTTGATCTTTTATAAATTAGCAGGAACTCTTTTAAACATTAGAGATATTTACCCTGGTTGTTATGTGAATCACAACTTTTTTTTTTCTGTCAGTCATTTATGTTTTTATTTTATTGTCTTACCATACTGAAGTTTATTTTTATTTTTTGTTGTCTTGTTTACCTGAATTTTGCTAATTATTCAGAAATACCTTGTTCATTCTAAGGTTACCAAGAACATTTTGTCTCCTAATACTATTTTATTTTTTTGAGTTGGAGTCTCACTCTGTCGCCCAGACTAGAGGGCAGTGGCCGCTC